GCAAAGCTAACGCCAATCGCTAGTCAAAACCAACCTAGTCAATCTGGACCCTGTGGCGATAAAAGATGCAAAACCTGTCAACATATGATAGAGACCAAGACATTCACTAGCACAGTGACTAAAGAAAAACTAAACATACATGGTCCAAACAAAACGTGCAAAACAGAATGTGATTTATCTCATCACATGTAAGATCTGTGGCCTTCAGTACGTCGGAGAAACTGAAAAGCTACACAAAAGGATAAACCTTCATAGACTTGATTGGATGACAAAAAAGCTGTACAGAAACCCGGTCGCAGAACACTTCTCCTCCCCATGCCACACTTTCAGTGATATAATACTTATCGCTATTGCTAACAACCATAGCTGGAGTTCCGAAACCAGGAAGGAAAAGGAATCATACTGGATATGCCGCCTTAGAACATTGAAACCAAGCGGTCTGAACCAAGAAGACTAGAAAATGAAAACTATGCACTAGTAGAATTTAACATTTTCTAAATCTTCTTATTATCCTTCAATTTTTACTATAAGAATAACTGGTATAGAATCAAATATCCGGGATATAATCTGCGTTACATAAATATACAAAAAATAAAAATAGATGTCGCTTTGGCCTGTAGACTTTTAGGGAATTATACACCGTTTTCAGTTTCCACAACTAGTCTATACAAGCTGGTTGTATTTATAGTTTTAACACATGTGGAGACAGCCATGTAGAGGTTTACAAACACAACGTTTTTGTGTTTATTTGTTTGTCGTATATATGTTTTGTATTTGCCTTTGAAAAAGACTCATTAAGAGTTGAAAGCGCTTAGGCTAGTTAGTTACTAGTTTTGTACTGTTCGTCGTCAGTTTATTGCATCTATATATATATATATATATATATATATATATATATATATATATATATATATATATATATATATATATAAAAGGTTTAACAGCACATCAGCACAGTCTTGGCTGTATATTGCGGAGTCTTGTTAGAACTATTTCCATTAAAGGTACTAGTTACTACTTCCATTGCTCCTGCTCATAGTTATATATAGTATCTAGTATTTTTGTTCTGTTTTCTTATGGGCTTAAGACTTTTATCCAAACAGTTCCATGCAAGAGGTAAAATAATTTACCTGTTGAATCTGTCAGATGTAGATGTTGATAATAAAAATATATAGACTGAGTCTGAAGCCCTGTTACCAAAACAAAATGAGCAAAAACTTTGTGTAGTTGTTGTCAGGAAGTAGCAGTCTGCTGACTGTGTTCAGATATACCATTCTGGAAATAATAGTTTGCTGATGGAGTTTTCAGACACACCATATGGGAAATAGGATTCTATAGACTGAGTGTTCAGACACACCATATGGGAAATAGGATTCTATAGACTGAGTGTTCAGACACACCATATGGGAAATAGGATTCTATAGACTGAGTATTCAGACACACCATATGGGAAATAGGATTCTATAGACTGAGTGTTCAGACACACCATATGGAAAATAGGATTCTATAGACTGAGTTTTCAGACACACCATATGGGAAATAGGATTCTATAGACTGAGTTTTCAGACACACCATACGGGAAATAGGATTCTATAGACTGAGTGTTCAAACACACCATATGGAAAATGGGATTCTATAGACTGAGTGTTCAGACACACCATATGGAAAATGGGATTCTATAGACTGAGTGTTCAGACACACCATACTGGAAATTTCAGATTTTATTTGTGAGACTTGATTATACCAAATTATTTTCACTCACTCAGGGTCAGGGAAGAGCTGGCAGAATCACGTGTACTGATGGTCTAGATGTACTAGTAGAATCACATGTACTGATGGTCTAGATGTACTGTGTAGAATCACTTGTACTGGTGGTCTAGATGTACTAGTAGAATCACATGTACTGATGGTCTAGATGTACTATGTAGAATCACTTGTACTGGTGGTCTAGATGTACTAGTAGAATCACATGTACTGGTGGTCTAGATGTACTAGTAGAATCACATGTACTGGTGGTCTAGATGTACTAGTAGAATCACATGTACTGGTGGTCTAGATGTACTAGTAGAATCACGTGTACTGGTGGTCTAGATGTACTAGTAGAATCACATGTACTGGTGGTCTAGATGTACTAGTAGAATCACATGTACTGATGGTCTAGATGTACTAGTAGAATCACATGTACTGGTGGTCTAGATGTGCTATGTAGATTCACATGTACTGATGGTCTAGATGTACTAGTAGAATCACATGTACTGGTGGTCTAGATGTGCTGTGTAGATTCACATGTACTGGTGGTCTAGATGTACTAGTAGAATCACATGTACTGGTGGTCTAGATGTACTAGTAGAATCACATGTACTGATGGTCTTGATGTACTGGTAGAATCACATGTACTGGTGGTCTATATGTGCTATGTAGATTCACATGTACTGGTGGTCTAGATGTACTAGTAGAATCACATGTACTGATGGTCTAGATGTACTAGTAGATTCACATGTACTGGTGGTCTAGATGTACTAGTAGAATCACATGTACTGGTGGTCTAGATGTACTGGTAGAATCACATGTACTGGTGGTCTAGATGTGCTATGTAGATTCACATGTACTGGTGGTCTAGATGTACTAGTAGAATCACATGTACTTGTGGTCTAGATGAACTAGTAGATTCACATGTACTGGTGGTCTAGATGTACTAGTAGAATCACATGTACTGGTGGTCTAGATGTATAATGTAGATTCACATGACATGCACTGGTGGTCTAGATGTACTAGTAGAATCAATTGTACTGGTGGTCTAGATGTACTGGTATAATCACATGTACTGGTGGTCTAGATGTACTATGTAGATTCACATGACATGTACTGGTGGTCTAGATGTACTAGTAGAATCACTTGTACTGGTGGTCTAGATGTACTGGTAGAATCACATGTACTGGTGGTCTAGATGTACTAGTAGAATCACATGTACTGGTGGTCTAGATGTACTAGTAGAATCACATGTACTGGTGGTCTAGATGTACTATGTAGATTCACATGACATGTACTGGTGGTCTAGATGTACTAGTAGAATCACATGTACCTGTAGTCTGGATGTGCTATGTAGATTCACATGTACTGAGAGCCCCTGTTGTACTGATGTACTTTATAGTTGGGAGTTAATTTTGCAAATGAGCAACAAATAAATGAATATTACTGTCCCTTTCTATTAGGTAGTGAATATTGCACACAAGTTGTATTAGAGGGCTAGGACAGTTTAATCCATTTCTTATTGCCTGATGATGTATTAATTACTGCATGCTGTGATCAGTTTTGTATTGATGTACAGATGAGGAAGCCAGTCTGGTATGACTTGCATTGATGACATTTCTTGCTTCTTACTGATAACAGTATTTTATTGTGACTACATTCAGAAGTGCTTATATACACAAATAAAGATTGCAGAAACAGTTTATGATGACAACCAGCTTGATTGTTTTATACATTGTCAAGTTAATGACTTTTACAAAAAAGAAATGTAAATATATTTTTTGTATTTCTTGGAAAATTTTGGTGTGATGGTCTTATAGAACAAATTTGTATAAATTTTGAAGTTTAAAAAATATTACATTGTAAGTAGGACCTAATTTAGTGGAAGGTCCCCTTAGAGAAAATAGTGTCCTTTCATTTTCAGGCAAATCATTTTTTGAACATAAGTTCATGATATTCTTCCATTTGATTTGTTTTCTTGTCAGCTCACTTGACAGTAATGATGAGAACTATCACGTTTTTTGTTGAATAAGCAGATCTCTTCATTTTACATCTGTATACTTTATCTTTTTTAGTTTTGTAACTTTCTATATAGCCAGTGTTGTGCTGATGTACAGCTGTATCCCATACAAACAGCCATACATGCATTTTTAGTCAGACACTTTAAGTTATGGCTTTTGTTTTTTCTGTCTGTTAGTTAAAATATGCTTGTCTGGACCAAAACATTATAATGGTTGAAGAAATTTTCATAACACTTTGCCCCAGAATGTATAAAGACAAGATAGCATGCTGTGTACCATAGTCAAGAGAAAATGTAATTCTGTTATATATTCTTCTCTGAAGTATAACTTTAGAATTTTTGAGGATATTTTGATGCAACTTTGCCCATAGTCTCTTGGTCAAGGTTATGGTGAGAAAAATGTAATTTTATGATTTGTATCTTTACGCAATAACTTTAGAGTACAACTTTTGGACCACTGAAGGATATGTTAATGAAACCATAGCCTAATGTATATATTTTATTTAGCTGGTGTGACACATGTCCATACCCACATGCCTTGATTTAAGGAAAAGGTCACAGGATGGGAAAATATAATGATGTTTTGTGTCCTTGTCCAGATTATAATTTTTGAACCACTTAAAACATTTTAATGAAACTTTTAACTAATTAAATATCCTGACTTTATAGTTTGACACATATAACAGCCATGTTTTCTGTTGCAAGTTCAAGATCATCACAGAGGAAAATATCAGTATAAATCAGCCATCTCTATTCATATAAGGGCATACATTTTCAACCAATGAGGATATTTTAAAGAAACATTAGACTATTATAAAGCTTTACTTTACAGTGTCTGACATAATCAGTTATGCCTTGGGCTACAATGTCAAGGTCACAATTTTGATTAAACTTTACTCACATCCACAACCTTACCCTGCAAGCTGAAAAGTATTTAACATTTCTAACTATTACAGTTATATTAATACATTATTGGCTCCATCATTGTTTGTGTGTGTGTTTATGATTTTAACATAGCTTTTAACAATTTTTCAGTCATATCACTACGATGTCTGCAGTGTGGCAGTTTATAGTAATGTCTAGCACTAGGGCATCATGCCCCAGACATGTAGCATGATGTCCCACCCAGTCACATTATCCTGACACCAGGCCGACCAGTCCTAATACTAAGCTCTTACTGCTGAGCGTCAAGTGAGGCAGCTGTTAGTACCATTTTTGTAAGTCTTTGGTATGACTCGACCGGGGATCGAACCCACGACCTCCCGCATCCGAGGCAGACGCTCTAACCACTAGGCCACCAGAGTGGTTCGGCTCCATATTTGTAACTTGCATACTGTTTTAATGTTTTGTAATAGTTTTATATTCATATATTCATGTAAAAATATTTTCAGATTATCCCATTTTTTTTAAAAGAATGTTATGAAATATTTTTTATGTGGATAGAAACATTTGTGTTCAGAATAGCTGATTGCTGTTTGTTACTTTTCAGATTTGCCATACAATTGTCAGAGCCAAATAACCGAACAAAATGCAACTCCATCAGAATGCTGTGGCAGTCACATTAAAATATTCCTTTACAGGCTATTTCATAAAATCTACATATCCAGTTTGTTTCCATGATAATACCTTGTGACCTCAGTATATGTTTGTAATATTGGAGATTGTCTTGTTATAGAATATAGCATCCTTTGAAATTATTTCAAAGATTACCTGAATTCTTGGATAGGCTTATCTTAGGAAATGGGGGCTTAACATCTGAGAAAAATAGAACATTACAAATTTTGTGTTTCAAATAAATAAAAAGATTTGAAATGGGTATTTTTTATATTGCCCTGATGTCCAGAAAATTTAAATTATTCAGCAAGTTTTATTTAAATTCATATTAAAAACTAAGCCCAATTTAAGACTAAATTTCTCACATGATAACTGAAAAAAATACAGATTAGAAAAGAAAACAGAAAATGAAAATACTGAATCATAAAAATAAATGACTTTGAAGTGCATTTAAACATAGGCATTAACTTGGTTTCTTCCATTACATCATTATATTATTTGGTGTTACTACACATGTATATTCATGAAGAAATGCTGTAACTTTATGAATATAAATGACACCTAGAAATGTGTCAGAATTAAAGAGATAAGACATTTATGTCAACAGAAAATTTCTGTCACTTCACCATCAAAAATAGTTATGGAGTCTGCAATCTTACTTGGTGTTCCTCAATGTAAGCTATAACTTTATGCATGTCAAGTGAAGATGATTATCGCTTCCATGTTTTGAAGTTGTCGATTACATTTTCTTGAGAATTTATGTGCATTGGCAAATTGAAGTACTTTATCTTTGTCACTGAAGATCAATGGTGGTTATATTTGATTGATGGAAAATTTGATTTGTAAACAATGTACACATTATTATTTAATTTTATTTCTATCATTTGTTGTTAAATGGTTTGCATGATGGATGTCACATTTTGCATAATTTGAATTTAACATTATTATTGTATATCATTTTTGAAGGATACATTCATTATTGTTATACATGTATTTTAGCTTATCTTTTGGAGTACTAAAATAAAATATATGTCCAACAAATTATATTACATTGTTATCTGCCAGTTATATTAGTTTAGGGTTAGACTGATATTTATATCAATACATATTTTTAATGGAATACACAAAAAGAAATAATACAGTTTTCAGATACTTTATGTAATATATACTACAAATTATCATGATTATATAATTAATATAACAATTTAGGTAGGAGCCTTCATGTAGAAAAAGATTAATTGTAGTAACAATGATCGGTATTCTCAGTTCTTTTGCAGCACATCTAAAAGTAGATGACAGTCAAAATTTATTAAATAACCAGTTATTATTATTAAGCTGTGATATTCTTCTTAAATAGTTTCAACATTTGCAGGAAATTCAAACAGAATCTCATTTTTGTAAAGTAATATCATTATTAAATGCACGTATATTTTAATTATTCAGTTAGATGTATCTGCATCCATGCAAGTTTTTCTCCTGATGTAGCTAACTTAGCCAATATTGAGACTTTAGTGTCCATATATGTGGTCTGCCAATCTGCTGGACTGTCTCATTTAATAAGTGTGTTAAAGGGAAATGTGAGTTAATATAATGATTCCCCCACTACAGTGCTCTTCAGGGAAATCATGAAAGTGAATCTTGATTCATGGATAAATATTGGGGTTCATTATATGGAAAGTTATAATCCATTACTATACCTGGTTTAGATCAGATGTAGTGTTATAATGGGATTTGTGTCCATACCTGTGTTATATCAAGGATAGTGTTTTAATGGGATCCATATCCATACCTGTGTTATATCAAGGATAGTGTTTTAATTTGATCCATATCCATACCTGTGTTATATCAATGATAGTGTTTTAATGGGATCCATATCCATACCTGTATTATATCAAAGATAGTGTTATAATGGGATCTGTGTCTATACCTGTGTTATATCAAAGATAGTGTTTTAATGGGATCCATATCCATACCTGTGTTATATCAAAGATAGTTTTAATGGGTTCCATATCCATACCCATGTTATATCAAAGATAGTTTTAATGGGATCCATATCCATACCTGTGTTATATCAAAGATAGTTTTATAAATGGAATCAGTATCCATACCTATGTTATATTAATAGTTTTAAAATGGAATCAGTATCCATACCTGTGTTAAATTACAGATTGTTATACTGAGGTGGTTTATAATGAGGAACCATTGTACTTTGAGCAAAGTGACATTTCTTGCTGGCAAGCTGTTACATATGTAGATTTCTATTCATATGATTTTTTTCCAGATAATAAACATTGTTTATTTTAGAGTTTTTGTTCCAGTATATTTTATGCTTGTTTTAGTGCCCATATTCCACTAGGTTTTATGTTTGACACCTTAAAGGGAAGTATATTACTTGGTTTTAATCTTCTCCATGGAAAGTTGTCTAGGCAGAAGAATCTCATTATAGGGACTTCATACATATAATGGAATGGATCAGAATTAATTATTTGAATTAAAAAACATTGACATCATATTGACCTATAAGTTGCTTTAGACACATAATATTGATATTAAGTTAATACAGAAAATAGCATTCTCTACTTACATGTAAACATTTAATTATTGGTATACATTTCTTTTGAAAATCCCAACACATTAACGCATCTTGCTGAGGTGGAATCAAATGTTATTGAATTTGATTTTATGCCTATAAGTTGGGTGTTAAATTTTTCATTGAATGCTTACAGACATGAGATTTAAACTATTCTAATAATGCAAAGGTATGGGAATTTCAATTAGAACTAAAATAAAAGCTTACATTCATGCTTGCATAATTGATAAGTACATTTTGTTTTGCATAGTTTCATGCGAGTGTAATGTAATAGTACATTTTGTTTTGCATTGTTTCATGCCAGTGTTACATAAAAGTACAATTTGGCATAGAACCATATTAGTATAATGTACCACTGTGTTTTTCAGGCATAAATTCATGCTGCTATAATGTACCAGAATGTTTTGTCAGGCATTGAATCATGCTAGTGTAAAGTACCAGTATAGTTTTATCAGTCATAGAATATTGCTAGTGTAAAGTTCCAGTATACATGTAGTTTTATCAGGCATTGAATCATGCTAGTGTAAAGTACCAGTATACTTTTATCAAGCATTGAATCATGCTTGTGTCAAGTACCAGTATAGTTTTATCAAAGATAGAATCATGCTTGTGTCAAGTACCAATATAGTTTTATCAAGCATAGAATCATGCTAGTGTAAATTACCAGTATAGGTTTATCAGGCATAGAATCATGCTTGTGTAAAGTACCAGTATAGTTTTATCAGGCATAGAATCATGCTAGTGTAAAGTACCAGTATAGTTTTATCAAGCTTTGAATCATGCTAATGTATTGTACCAGTATAGTTTTAACAGGCATAGAATCATGCTTGTATAAAGTACCAGTATAGTTTTATCAGGCATAGAATCATGCTAGCTTAATGTACCAGTATACATGTAGTTTCATCAAGCATAAAATCATGCTAGTGTAAAGTACCAGTATAGTTTTATCAGGGATAGAATCATGCTAGTGTAAAGTACCAGTATAGTTTTATCAGGCATTGAATCATGCTTGTGTAAAGTACCAGTATAGTTTTACCAGGCATTGAATCATGCTAGTGTATAGTACCAGTATAGTTTTATCAGGCATTGAATCATGCTAGTGTATAGTACCAGTATAGTTTTATCAGGCATTGAATCATGCTTGTGTAAAGTACCAGTATGGTTTTAACAGGCATTGAATCATGCTAGTGTAAAGTAAAAGTATAGTTTTATCAGGCATTGAATCATGCTAGTGTAAAGTACCAGTATAGTTTTACCAGGCATTGAATCATGCTAGTGTATAGTACCAGTATAGTTTTATCAGGCATTGAATCATGCTTGTGTAAAGTACCAGTATAGTTTTACCAGGCATTGAATCATGCTAGTGTATAGTACCAGTATAGTTTTATCAGACATTGAATCATGCTTGTGTAAAGTACCAGTATACATGTAGTTTTATCAGGCATTGAATCATGCTAGTGTCAAGTACCAGTATAGTTTTATCAGACATAGAATCATGCTTGTGTAAAGTACCAGTATACATGTAGTTTTATCAGGCATTGAATCATGCTAGTGTAAAGTACCAGTATAGTTTTACCAGGCATTGAATCATGCTAGTATAAAGTACCAGTACACATGTAGTTTTATCAGACATTGAATCATGCTAGTGTAAAGTACCAGTATAGTTTTATCAGACATTGAATCATGCTAGTGTAAAGTACCAGTATAGTTTTAACAGGCATTGAATCATGCTTGTGTAAAGTACCAGTATAGTTTTATCAGGCATTGAATCATGCTAGTGTAAAGTACCAGTATAGTTTTACCAGGCATTGAATCATGCTAGTATAAAGTACCAGTACACATGTAGTTTTATCAGACATTGAATCATGCTAGTGTAAAGTACCAGTATAGTTTTATCAGACATTGAATCATGCTAGTGTAAAGTACCAGTATAGTTTTAACAGGCATTGAATCATGCTTGTGTAAAGTACCAGTATAGTTTTATCAGGCATTGAATCATGCTAGTGTAAAGTACCAGTATAGTTTTACCAGGCATTGAATCATGCTAGTATAAAGTACCAGTACACATGTAGTTTTATCAGACATTGAATCATGCTAGTGTAAAGTACCAGTATAGTTTTATCAGACATTGAATCATGCTAGTGTATAGTACCAGTATAGTTTTAACAGGCATTGAATCATGCTTGTGTAAAGTACCAGTATAGTTTTATCAAGCATTGAATCATGCTAATGTATTGTACCAGTATACATGTAATTTTATCAAGCATAAAATCATGCTAGTGTACAGTACCAGTATAGTTTTATCAAGGATAGAATCATGCTAGTGTAAAGTACCAGTATAGTTTTATCAGGCATTGAATCATGCTAGTGTATAGTACCAGTATAGTTTTATCAGACATAGAATCATGCTTGTGTAAAGTACCAGTATACATGCTAGTGTAAAGTACCAGTATAGTTTTATCATGCATTGAATCATGCTTGTGTAATGTACCAGTATACATGTAATTTTATCAAGCATAAAATCATGCTAGTGTACAGTACCAGTATAGTTTTATCAAGGATAGAATCATGCTACTGTAAAGTACCAGTATAGTTTTATCAGGCATTGAATCATGCTTGTGTAAAGTACCAGTATACATGTAGTTTTATCAGGCATTGAATCATGCTAGTGTAAAGTACCAGTATAGTTTTATCAGGCATTGAATCATGCTAGTGTATAGTACCAGTATAGTTTTATCAGGCATAGAATCATGCTTGTGTAAAGTACCAGTATAGTTTTATCAGGCATTTAAACATGCTAGTGTAAAGTACCAGTATACATGTAATTTTATCAGGCATTGAATCATAAAAGATTAAAGTACCTGTATAGTTTTATCAGTCATAGAATATTGCTAGTGTAAAGTTCTAGTATACATGTAGTTTTATCAGGCATTGAATCATGCTAGTGTAAAGTACCAGTATAGTTTTATCAGGCATAGAATCCTGCTATTATAAAGTACCAGTATACATATAGTTCTATCAGGCATAGAATCATATCAGTATAGAAACCCAGTATAGTTTTATCAGGCATAGAATAAAGCTAGTATAGAGTACCAACCAGTATAGTTTTATCAGGCATTAATTCATGCTAGTGTATAGTACTTGCATACTTTTATCTGTCATAGAATCATGCTACTATAGTACCAGTATACATGTATTTTTATCAGGCATTGAATCATGCTAGAGTTAAGTACGGTAAAGTCTCCTTAGAGGGCACTCCATCAGAGCTTATCCCACTAGAGCACCAAAAATATTTTAGTCCCATTAGAGCTAATCCTTAGGTAGCTGTTGGCTTATGTTTATTTGGTTAAGACAGGTTCGTGTCTTTGTTGTAAAAACAGTGTTACGTTCCAAAAAAAACACAGTAAAACATTTAATTAGGCATTGCGTTTGACGGCTCTGGGAGTAAACCTCCAAAATGTAACACCTGTATACCTTTGAAAAACTAGCCAATTCAAAATATGTCAAATAGGGACACGTGATAAAAAAAATAGTTATGGAAATTTGTAAAAAGAATGTTATTATAATAGAAACAATATATGAATGTAAGTATTCAAACGCGATGGCAATTAAATCATGTTGAACTTCATTTTTTTTTCTCCGCTCCGCGCCCTAGTGTGAATGCGCTCTAGTGTGACCATATCTTAAGTACCAATATACATGTAATTTTATCCGGCATGGCATTGAATCGTGCTATTATAAAGTATCAGTATGCATGTAGATTTATCAGGCTTAGAATCATGCTAGCAGTTTCATTAGGCACAGAATCATGCTAGTATGATCACATAAGTACCAAAATTAAACCATGAATGTTACCCAGTGTACAAGAATTTGAGCTTCATTAGGAAGATGTAATTAAAAGTCATTAATTACATATTTTTATTTTTTAATCTAATCTTTTCATTGCTATATGACAAGACATTTGTATTCTGTCACCTTATGCAACAGGAGTGTCTTCACATAGAGTAGATTTAGATTTTATCTAGATTTTTAACGTAGCTTTAACCATTTTGTAGGTCATATCGCTACGATGTCTGCAGTGTGACAGTTTATAGCAATATCTAGCACTGGGGCATCATGCTGCAGATATTTGGCATGATGTCTAACCCATTCACATTATCCTGACACCAGGCCGACCGGTCCTAACACTAACCTCTTAATGCTGAGTGCCAAGCAAGGCAGCTGTTAGTACCATTTTTGTAAGTGTTTGGTATGAATCCGCTGGGGTTCGAACCCGCGACTTTCCACATCTGAGGCGGACGCTCTAACCACTCGGCCATAGAGTAGAAAAGTACAGAATACTTACAAGATGTTGTCTTCATTGGCAATGTAGCAAGAGATGTGGAAGGATTATGTGATACTTTATAATAGTTCAAATACCAAAGGGAGATGCAGGTACCCAAAATTTCAGTTGAAACAGATTCATGGATAGAAGCTTGAAAAATCATACTAGTACAGATCATCTTTCCCACCCCACCCCACCCCACCCCACCCCACCCCATGTTTAAATCTGTGTTGTGAAAACTTTTTTCAATGGAATTAGGTCAGTACTAATGATATAGCAAATGACCAACTCACTTTTGTATTTTGACTTTTCTTTAAATTTACAAATCTAACCCCCAAAATTTATTAAAATACAAACATGGAAACTGCTGGAACAGTTTCATTGTTACAAAATCTTAAAGCTATAATATGATTGACACAGTTAATACAAATGCATGACAAAATAAATTTTTACATGAGATAGCATGCCAGATGTCAAGACTGTGAACCAAAGAGAGTGTTGAAATCGATTTGACATAAAATAGACCATTCCAGATGTCAAGGCTGTACAGAAGAGTGTCGAAATCGATTTGACATAAGATAGCATGCCAGATGTCAAGACTGTGTACAGAAGTGAGTGTCGAAATCGACTTGACATAAGATAGCATGCCAGATGTCAAGACTATACAGAAGTGAGTGTCGAAATCGATTTGACATAAGATAGCATGCCAGATGTCAAGACTGTACAGAAGAGTGTCGAAATTGATGTGACATAAGATAGCATGCCAAATGTCAAGACTGTGTACAGAAGAGAGTGTCGAAATCGATTTGACATGAAATACCTTGCCAAGGTAAAGAGTCTGAATACACATGGAACTAGCTATGGTCCGAATGATATATTACTTGTGAAAGCATGCCAGTCATGTGGCTTTATGAACTGGGTAAAAGACTATGGGTTTTCATATTCATATGACTGTGTTAAGTTATTTGGCATGTTGACTTAAGGTAAAATGTATTATGATAGGAATGTTTGTTCTCGTATCACTGTACATTGTTATATGGCGAGATAGTGTTAGATCGCATCCATTGCGACGGGAATCTGAACTACATGTGTATGGCTAGTTGAGATTAGATTCCATGAATAATAACACGAACATGGATTCTCGTATAACACTACAGTTTATGTAAAACTGGCATTAAATCACGATGTTTAGGGCAGAAAATTAATTTTCACACAACTATGAAGTTGCGTGTCAATATGACATTACTTTCGATACATTAAAAATGAAGTTTGAAGAAATTTGAAGTCCCATATGTTTCTTTTATTTGGCAATTTGACATTACAATCCATGTACTATAAAAGGAATAAAGTTACCCTTAGGATAGTGTACGTTAATATGGCATGTTTACTTTAGATTACATGTATTTATTTATTGAAACAAACTTAACATTATTCATTTGGCACAATGTTTTGGATATCAAATTAGTGACATCAAAATCGTTTATATGTTCATGATGCCATGTCTATGAAACCATGCTGTACACCCATATATGTTCATTGCTTTATTTAGAGTTCGCCACATTGGTTTCATTTAGTTCGGTAGCATCGTTTAAATGACCTTTTTTAACATACACTTGGCACATATAAAAATTATGTAATTTTTCACTTTGTATATTTTAAAAAGTCGTGTCAGAGTTCTTAACCAACGCACCAATTTCTGTGATAGCATTACACTATGTGGTATATATTATAGTCTGTGATTTGCTATGCATGTTTTGATCCTGAAAAAAAAATGGTTCACATTCATAACCGCGCGCACATAAACGCGACTTTCGAAAACTACAACCATATTAATGGCGATAATATAAAAAGGGCATTAACAGCAGTGAATAAATAAAATGCAACACAAGATGATCGCGAATATTATTACTTTTTGCATGTTCTAGAGCATTCTTTATATGAACTCGTTCACACATTAATATGCTATTTTTATAAATGAGTACATTAACTGCATATAAAATGCATAAAATAATCTGCATAATTCATATAATGATTTGTTGCTTTGATGAGGTAATTATTGCTTCTTGATTGTCGCATTCAAGACTTGTCATTAAAGGTGATGTTATATGCGCTTTTATTAGCTACTCGCTCTTCTTGTAGTCGCTCTTGTGTGAGTGCAATTTTAAATATTGCAGTTTTTGTGCCCGCAGTTATTGAAGTGCAGCTTAAAAAATGTGTATTTCCTTTATACTATTGTTTTGAATTTTATCGGCTGTTATCGTTTGCTTTTTGTATGATTTTAAAAACTAAAATGAAACTGTCATATTTATTACTTTAGTTTTTGTAAGGGTCTTTTAGTTAATTACATTTTTAATACTAATACCACAGTAGTGGGTTTATTCTGTAAGATAAACTATGTATAGTGGATACGTTGTTTAATTCATAAGTTTCAAATTTGATATTATAAATCAAATAAGCATCACGTGATCCAACAAGGATATGAGCTCTTGTGAACAGAGAGCATAATTTTTCTAAACTTGATCATAACCTTTTCCCAGATTGGCTAATGTAAACCACATGACGTGTTTACTCTTAAGAGTATTTTGAATTTCGAACTGCATCGATGATTCATTCAAAGCCTTGAACATCATTCTCTTTTGCTTATTAAATTTGGTTTATAATTGGATTATTACGCCGAATTAGACATTCTTTGAAGTAATATTAGAATTGATAGAACATTTATGATTTTAAGAATTTATTCACCATACTGTAAGTTATTTTAATTCTTTAACTTTGTTTTTTCTTGTCATGTAGTTTAAGACCACAGAGTCGCAATAATATGATGCTAATTTGCATGTTGTTTGGTGTATTGTGGTAATGTAATGTTAGATGTGTATTGTTTTTCTGTATGTACTATCTGTGTATCTGACTGTTTAATTATAAAATACTTTAGTTATCTCATGCCAGTAAAATAGCTCATCCTGTGATCAGTTTTGACAGTGAAATGAGATATAAAAAAAATTATTGTGTTTACATAAATTCATATTTTAATCATTAAATTTCACTTACAGCGATATAGTGTAAGAAAATGGCTCGTTTTTATTAGATCATTGTCAACGTCTAATGGGCAGAAAAATGTCCGTCAGTAACGGACTTAAAATATACCGCCATATTTAGGAGACAGGACAGTTTACTAAATTGGGCCCTGGCAAATTTCTTAACGCTATGGTTTGGTTTTTGGAGCTCATCTACCCCGAGGCGCGCAAGAGGGCCTTTTTGATAGCCTAGGGGCAGCACCACCTTTGTTATCTCTCATGACACCTTGTGACGCCAATCGTGTTTCCGGTAACAGGATATAGCTTAGCAGACCGCATGTGGCTCACTGGCCACCGCATGTGGCTCACTGGCCACATGTTTGAGATCCCTGCTTAACATTATGTATCCTGTGAAATACCAATAGTCGGCTAGTAAGCAGAGCTAGCAACCGATAGCAGAAGACATGTGGATTGAAAGCATATAGAATATTTGAAACACTGCATGGATGAATTGCATGAAACTATTAAGTACACATTGTTTAAAAACTTATTGTCCAGGGAAATGGCTTGCATTTACACTGTGGGCATCACATGCTGTCAAATTGGCCTTCGAACGAGAAAACTGCATTTATAAATTTGGGATTTTGGTGAATAACCTTTTTATTATATGAGCTTCCCTTGACTTGTCAGTCAAGTGAATACTATTCTTATGGTTTGCTTCATTATACCTGTCTAAAATATGGACCTTTTTAAACTGACTCGTGTATTTTATTGTGAATTTTTGCATTAGACATGTATAGGCGGCATTAAATTTACGCATACAAAATGTCCCTTGCTCTGTTATTGATTGTTATTGTTTTCAACCTGTGTAATACTATCTTTATATTCTCTCTAATAATGACAGACATTAGATTTTTTTTGTAGTGAGCAGGTGTCGTCTAATATATCACTAGAAGTGTCGCCGCTTGAAGATCTCTGCTCATGACATAACTTTAAAATCTGCGAATGTTGCCTTGACTTAATATCTCTGTCCAAGATAGCGTCGATGCTATATGTTGACAAGCAAGAACAACGCGAAGAATGGAATACTCCCTTCTCCAAACGAAAATAAGCTATAAACAAATGCAGGACGTCATTTTCTTTTAACCAGTGAGAGGCCAGTTTTCCATTCAGTGGGATTTCACGTGCATATAAAGCATGCGCAGTCATGTCCATGTCGATCTGTAGCGTGAGAAATTCCATGCATTCCTTAAAGGTATGATTATGCCAACCTTAGGATACACATACAAAGTCGAATGCCTGAGCTAAACATCGGTACCAAATTTATTACGTTACGCGAAAAGTAGCTTGAAATATCGGCGTTTGTTATTAAATAGGTCGCGAGAGAAATGATAGAAGTGTCCTCCCTTGGAGTTATTTTATAGTAGGTGTATGACAGGTATATTGTAAACAACGATACGAGGTCCTATGCAGCCCACCTTCTCGAGTGTTATGTACAAGACTTGTCTCCACAGCGACACACACAGATTATGATAGGCACAATCTCGGTCGCACAAGCAGAAATCAGACTCATTTACACCAGCAAAACCTCCAGAAGGGCTCCCTGCGCAGCATATGGTAAGAAGACCTTATGGTAAGAAGACCTCATTATTTTTATCCCCAGACTTCAACACTTCGTCTCCAGTTGTTATGCTCGCAAGTTAAGAGAGTGGGTTAAGCTTCGTATGGGAAATCGAATCTTCTCTCCTCAGAGTTTAACCGAGCCAAAAGTACGATTCTCACCATTCCGTCCTCCTACTACATGTTCTGATAATGTTATCGTGATCGGAGAACGTATTCGAAGGTAATCGAAAGAGAAAGCATATTGTTTTTCCCCCAGTAGATTATGTCTCTACTGTTTTATGACACGTCTTAAGTATCTAATATACTAGTAAGCACAATCTATTCCCTCTGAGAAGTGGAAGTGGGAGATGTGTTTTGGTTTTCA